TACTTGAGAGAAAGGGTAGAAATAGTTGGAGACGAGTGAGTCGGCAATGATGAGCTCCATGCTCCATCGCCCATCGGATAATTTGGATAGTTTACCTGAAAGAGCCGATAATGAGAAACAAGGGAAACAAAAAAGGAAAAGAATTCGAGGCCTTCTTAAGGCTTGGAGCACATCAAAAAATGAAGAATATGAAAGATCCAGGGCAAAAAATAGAAGCACGAAAGGAAAAGTATAAAAATTAATAAGTTTTCTAAATGCAACTAAGCAATATGAAAACAAATACAAAAAAAAGAAAAATTTTACAATAAGCGCATTAACACGACTAATGACTACGACAATATTCACCTTAGCAGATACTTCTTTAAAAGTTATTAGTAATCATTTGGAATAACATAATTCCAGTAGATAATCCAATCCTTTGCAAAAGTAAATATCTACAACCACTGCTCACATTTTTAATTATGATACCTTTAAAGAGGAAATTCTTGTCTTGTGGACGTAACAACGCGTTGGGCATGCACTATGTCGACGCGTTTTTGCACATCTTTTGCTGCTTTTTCTTTTCTTGCTTGGGAAGTCTGCACACTTCTGGATGTAAATCTTGGTATGTAGAAAGACTCGGGAGCTGTTATACAGATGGGAAATATATAAGGCGTTTTGCACATAAGTTCCAAACTGCTCAGTGCATACTGATGGGTTTCGGCAAATTCCATTGTTGAGCTACTGCATATCCATCTTATTATTCAGTGTCCTTTCTTTTGAGATCATTAAATTCCTGATTGAATAGTTTTAAATTGCTATTATAGAAGATTACAAACGTTTATAAATTGCACGAACAACATCCAACATCCATCATCCTCCAATGGAGAATATCTAGTTGGAGTGGTAAAATAAAAGATATTTATCTGCACATAAGCATGAAAAACTGCTATCAAACTTCATTCACTTCTGCTAAGCAAATCCCCATAAGAGGTAATATTCTTTTTCCAACAAAAAAAACTTGTGCG